CTTTCCCTTTTTTGATCCAGGCCATGGAACAGGAGCTGCATGAGCACAGGGTCTTCTCTTGCACCTGCAATGCCAAAGGTTAAACCCAATTTCACTCTGAGCTTTGCTTTTCCTTCCCCCGCCCGTGAGTGTGTGGGTGGCAGCTCATACCTGCACCAAAATGCTGATTATTTCCCTGTGTTCTCATACAGGGTTTATTCACAGCTGGAATACAAAGGGGTGTGTTAGGTAGAACTGGAGGAGGTTTCCTAATTCCTGGCTACGAGGTCTTTTTGGGCTGTTGAGGCAAAAGCAATATATTTAATGGAGATAAAGTGGAAAACACAAGTTTGTGTTTCCTTGTGATTGTTTTTAGGTGGGTGCTGGGAGAGCTTGGATGGTTTCTGGAGTCACTGAGGGTCACAGCTGGAGTAGGAAATTGCCTCCAATTTCTTTACTCTCCAGATGAAAAGAATCAAATGGAATAGCCCTCTCCTGCTGCTGATGGGTGCGTTGGAGGGCAAGCAGTGGCTGGCAGGCCCTGAGAGGGTTGTTTAAATCCAGGGTGTTTTAACCTTGCAGCTCCTGTCTCCTGTGGGCTCAGGGGCTGACTGGAGCACCAGGAACCTCAGTGCTGCTCCACTTCTGTGGGCTTGGAGCTGATCTGCTCTGCAGGAGCGTCCTGTGCAGCACAGCCATTCTGCATGGCTCTGCAGGGCTTAAATCAGCACCCACACGGGGTTTGTAACACAAACATCCCTCTCGTTTGCTTGCAGCTGACCAGGCCTTTATGGAAGGAACTAAATGATAAATGTTTTTAAATACAGAAAAATGGAGCCTCATTTCTGTTCTTTGGTGTGGAATTGTCAGTGAGGCAGGAGCCAGGTGCAGCCCAAAGAGCTCAATTTCTGTGATAAACCTGCCTTTCTTCAAGGAATCAACCCCTGCCACAAGTAGTTTTTAATTAATTTCATAGTAAATGGCTCTGTGGTTTATTTCTGCCTAGATCATACTCCTGAAAAAATGGTGTGTTTGAGGAATAAAAAGAGATTTTCCCCTGCCTGAGCAGTCAGTTCCCACTGACTGTGGCTGCTGCAGCTGCTGACATGAAATGTGATGTGCAGCAGGAAATAACAGGTTTCAGAGCCAGCAGAGTTCCTGATTTACCTGGGGGGAGAAGTGACTGCAGCTGCAGTGGGGACATGGCTGTGACAAACCCAGGGCTTTTGCTGTGGATGGGAAATGGTTTAACCAGGTACAGTGACGGTGTTCACAGGGGTTCTTGGATGAGGGACGAGATGAGGATCTGACTCCATGTTACAGAAGGCTTCATTTATTATTTTATGGTAATATTACATTAAAACTATACTAAAAGAATACAAGAAAAGGTTTCATCTCAGAAGACTAGCTAAGCTAAGAAGGAATGATAACAAAGGCTCTGTCTTGGACTCTCCGAGCCAGCTGACTGTGATTGGCCATTCATTAGAAACAACCACATGAGACCAATCCCAGATGCACCTGTTGCATCCCACAGCAGCAGATAACCGTTGTTTACATTTTGTTCCTGAGGCCTCTCAGCTTCTCAGGAGGAAAAATCCTAAGGCAATGATTTTTCATAAAAGATGTCTGCGACAGTGTACACACTGGGAGAGCCTTTGCTCTAACTGGAGTGAGTCTGAGCTCTGGGATGATGTGGGAGCACCTGCTGCTGGCAGCAGATCCGTGCAGAATGGGAATTTTTGGGATTTTTATACAATTTCCTTGGTTTTTGTCACGTTGGACTGTCAGCCTCTCAGGAATCAAACCTTTGGTCTCACATTCCTGAAGCTGTGGAATGAAATTGTGTGCAGCAGAGCATGAAGTGTCATTATCCTGATGTTGGGAATGTTCTCCTCTTCCACAGATGCCTTTGTGAACAGCCAGGAATGGACCCTGAGCCGCTCTGTGCCCGAGCTGAAAGTGGTGAGTTTGTGTTTGCTCCTGCCTGGGCCATGCTGGGAATGTCACACACCACTGGGGACCTCCCAGGCTTCACTCCAGCTGCTGCTGGGGCAAAATGTAAAAATCAGTTTAATAAGTAAAGGATTTTTCCTGTAAATATATGTTATAGACTCAGAAGGGTTGGGATTGGGAGGGACCTCAAAGCTTGTCCCATTCCAGGGACCCCTCCCACTATCCCAGGCTGCTCCAAGCCCCCTCCAGCCTGACCCTGAACACTTCCAGAGCTGAGGTTACCTTTATCTATATTCAATATTCATTTTACTCATACTTGAGAGATCTCTCAGTGTTTTATTACTGCTGGAATTTGTTCTGCTCCATGAACCAGCTTTCAGGGGGGATCTTCTCAACAGGGAAGTCTTAGGAGGGCAATGGAAGTTAGCAGCTGACATGTAAAGCTCATTTCATCTCTCCATTATAAGTTTCCATGATTGCAAGGAGCAAATGTCTGTTCTCCCTCTCTTTAAAGAATTTAAAGCTTTTCCCAAAATCTGAGTTGACAGTAGTGTTTTGTGGAGGTGAGAGAATCTGCAAGGCCACACTTAGCTGGGTAAATTCACTTTTATTAAAGGCATTTTAATGGCAGCAGCATCCTCACAACTGCACTGCTGTGGCTGCTTTGAAAGGTGAGTGCAGGAAAAACCTGGCAGTCAGTGGATGTGATTCCCTAATTCAGGAAGGGTCTCCAGGTTTTGTTAAACAAATGGTGTCATTTGGAAGGCCCAAAATACAGTGAAAAACTAGGAATTCAGGACTGGGAGTAGCTGGCTTCTCCTGGGTTTCCTTGCCCATCCCTTCCCTCCTCTGAGCCCTGCTAATTCCCAGCAGCCCCAAGGAAAACTGGGAATTGCAGGTGAGAGCAGAGCTGCAGGCACTCCCTGCTGGGGTTCAGGACACAAACCATTGCTGGTGGTCTCAGGGTACATTTGCCTCTCGTGCCAGCCTGGCTGCACCATGTGAGGGTTCCCTTGGGTGTCCTGCCCCTGACCTGGCTGAGCAGGGCTGGCACATTCCAGATTGCAGCTGTGTGGCTGCTGCAGAGAATGGATTTGCAGTGGTCAGCAGTGCCACGGGAGCTGCCCAAGGGGAAAAGCACAACTGCTGCTGTTACAAAAATAATAATTTAATGACAGCCCTGCAAGTGATGGCAGCCAGCAGCACCAGCTTGTGCTGTGAGCTTGTGCTCCAAGAGGAAGGGTAAATCAGGAAGCCCAGCTGAAATCTGCTCTGCCTTTGCTGCACATCTGCCCCTGGGGAGGGCTCGGGGCTGTGGGTGCCCCCTGCCATCCCCTCCCTTCTACCTCATCCTGGGGGCTCCAGGGGCTGAGGAGCACCAGGACCATGGCGAAGGGAGAGGTTGTCCCCCTGTACAGGCTGGGAGGTCCTTCATGGGATTATTGTTGTTATTTATCTTTGATTTATTTCTAGAGCCGCTGTGTTGTACCCTTTTGTTTAAAAGGGAACAGAAACTGGCTCTGGGAGAGCAGAGAGCCCCCAGGGCTGCAATAAAGGAAGGAGGTGTCTCTCAGTGTGCCTCTGAGGAAAGAACAGCAGTCTTTGCCTCTTTCTTTAGCTTGGTTTCCTTCCAGTGCTCTGAAGGACATTCAAGGCCACCTTGGAGGGGTTTGGAGCACTCTGGGATAGAGGGAGATGTCCCTGCCCAGGACCTCCTGCTTGGCGGTCCCTTCCAGCCCAGACCAGTCTGGGATTCTGTAACTGGTTCCTGCTGATCCAGTACTTGGGTTTTACTTACGAATTTTGATGCTTTTATTGTGGTCAAGAGCTTGGTGAGACCTCTGCCTTTGGTGTTCCTGGGTTCTGTTTTCCAAATATTAAATGAGGATGTGTTAGGCAGGATAAACATGGGAGACTGTTGAATAAAATCACCAAATTTCTTGCAAAAATATCTGCCAAGTGCAGTCAGGCTCCTCTCCTGGACAGCTTTAAAATGCCAAGTGCCATCAGTACAGTTTCTGATTTTCCCCACCAGGCTTTAGGAGGTGTGGACCAAGTGGCTGGGGTTTGTTTTACAGCATGTCTGGCACATGGAAATAAATGATTCAGTGTTGCACAAGTCACAACTGAAAAGAGCAGTGAGCTGGAGCTGAATTTTCTCCTCCCTGAGCTGGGTTAGGGTGGTATTTTTGTTCCCTAACATGCTTGTCATAACTTGGTGCATTTCAGACATATCCATAAATAAATGGGGATGACTGGGATTGTTTGTGTGTAAAGCAGGGAGAGAGGAATATGACTGCTGTGAAAACAGGCTGGCATTTTTGTCATGCTGTGGGGGATCAGCCTTAAAGCAAATATTAATGCTGACAAACAGAGAAACCGTATCAGAAGTCAGATTTTTTTTTTCCAGTGTGGAATTTATTGCTCCTACTTTGTAGCACTGTGTCAGAGAACCTGAAGTGCTGTCAAATGGTGTGACCTGGTGTGACCTTTGGGATATTAAAAACAATTAAAATATAAAATTGTGTTCTTGAATCTTGATGTCTTTTAAATTTTGAGGGTCTCTGGATAGAACAAGACATCCCAGCCATGGATGGTGCCTCTGACTGGACCCCCAGGTTGATGCTGTTCTGTTCTCTCTAGCAGTTACAGTTTTGGCACGAGTGTACTAGAAAATCAAATTAATTTCCATCTAATCACTTTAAGTGAAAGTTTCACTGGAAAAATGTTGTTTTGCCACTTGTGTAGACCATGAAAAATCCAGTTCAGCTTTCACACACTAAAATAACTGTTTTTCAGTGGTGAATCCTGACTGGCGGGGATTTGTACATTGTTGTAGGCAAAATAAAGAAAAAAGGAGGGAGCTTCTCCTGGGGAAGCTTTGTGTGGAAGGGGAGCTGGTGTCGCTTTGGGGACGAGAGGAGGTGCCGGGGCCAAGCTGTTTGCTCACCCTCAGCTCTCAGTGGGTCTGTGGTGTGAGTGGGAGTAGACAGATGTGCTGCAGCCCATGGGCATGGAATGGAGGGAAAAGGCATTAATGGGAGAGCTTGCTGCGTGTCCTGGGCTGAGGGACACGTGCTGGAGATGTCATTTTCTCCCCGTGACTCATCCCAGCATCCCTCCCTCCCTCCCTGCCCTGCTGCCCACGCTGTGGGAGCAGCCCCAGGCTGGGGGAATTGGGGTGCCAGCACACCTGGCTGGGTCCCACCAGGCCAGTTCTGCTCAGGAGGGTGCTGTCCTGCCAGCTGGGGCTGAGAAGATGGGGCACACAATGTGCAGCTCGTGGCTGCTGCCTCGGGCCCTTTGGCAATCCAGGCACATCAGCAGAGTTCATCTTCTCTCCAGGGACCTTCTGTTCTGAACCTCTGGTGAGGGTCAAGTAAACAGCAGAGAGCAGAGCAGGCTGGGCTTGTTTCAGAGGGGGGGAGAAGCTTCCATCACCTCCCTCCCCCAAGAAGGGAGCCTTTAAAGGCACGAACCCCAAATCTCCTCCAGCCCTTGGGCTTTGAGCACCTCCAGGAGAAAACTCGGTGGGGTTGGTGTGAATTGTTTCCCTGGGAGGGTGGGGAGGCCCTGGCACAGGTGGCCCATCCCTGGCAGTGTCCAAGGCCAGGCTGGGCAGGGCTTGGAGCACCCTGGGATGGTGGAACAAGATGATCTCTCATGTCCCCCCACCCCAAACCACTGCTGTTCATAACCTCCCCCTCATTAAACCCCACACTCCTAACCATCCTAGCTATCTTCTCAGCGGCCCTAGGAGGATGAATAGGACTCAACCAAACACAAACTGAAAAATCCTAGCTTTTTCTTCCATCTCCCACCTAGGCTGAATAGCAATCATTATTATCTACAACCCTAAACTTACCCTGCTCAACTTCTGCCTATACACTGTAATAAATGCAACTGGCTTCCTCACACTAAACACAAAGTTTATTTATCTCTGGGCACATTTTGCTCTGTGTCTGTTGCTTGGGGTGTTATTCCACGTGAAGATTTTGCCAGAAGACCCAGCTTTCTGCAGGGATGGCTTGCAGCTGAGCTCTTTGTTGCTTCCTTCCCGTGTTGCATGCAGGGGATCGTGGGGAACCTGGCGAGTGGGAAGTCGGCGCTGGTGCACCGCTACCTGACCGGCACCTATGTCCAGGAGGAGTCACCCGAAGGTAGGTGCATCCACAGCTCCCAGCCTGCTTTCCCCCCACAAACCACATCCTTGCTCATTTTTGATCATGCAGAAATGATTAAAAAAAAAAATCCCACGTGCTGTTCAAAATGCATGGGGATTTTTGCTTTAACATTCTCCAGAGCGGGCTAAGTATGCACAATAAAATTGTGGATTTTCCATCCTTTAAATACTTTGCTTTGCATCCTTAAATACTTTGGCCCCCAGTGAGTGTCCATGTGGGAATTAGTCCTGATGGAGAGGAGTTGGCTGCCCTCAGTAGTGCTGCTGATTTCACTTGGGCTGTTGAAAGCCTCAGTTATTGTCTGTAGTGGTGGGTTTCTTGTTAGGAGAATAAAAATCTTCACCTAAAAATGTGTAACTTACTTATTGTTTAATATATTAAATATTTGTAGTTTTCAAAAAATGTTTTTATGGCATAGAAAATTAATTTGTACGCTGTAGTGTTTAACATTAATCCCAGTTTATAGCTTGAAATCAAAAATTATCACAGTACCGTATCAAGGTTTATCTTACAGTAAATACTTTTTTGATTATTTTTCTTTATCTGTTCTCCTTATGAACTTTTAAATCCAACTCTGAGACACTGAATTTCTGGTTCCTTCTTTCCCTTACTGGCTGTTCCCTTCTTTGCAGATATGGATGCAGGTAACTATACATTGTCTTCATGGCAGCTCTGGTTTGGAAGGGCCAGATGGTGGTTTCTGTACTAGAGCGTTTTCCCCCCTTGTTTTGTGTATCATTTTGAGTTGTTCCCTTTTGATTTCAAGTCTTTAGTGCATCTCACTGTTGTTGTCTCTTGCTGTAGTTGTCTCTTCAGCAGTAGTTTGTAGTTTCATGCATCTCTGATAACATTTGTTTCTAATTAACTCTTACCGCAGGAAGCTGGTTCAGCTTGGTAGTTGACATTTTAACAGCCTGGGATTGCAGTTAAAATGGGAGGAGAGGGGAAGGGAGGGATGGACAAGGAATTTTCCTGTGGAATTGCACTGACACTGAGCTCCTGCAGTTTGTAAGTTTGCCCTGCATGCTTTTGCTGGTTGGTAGCTAGGGCTGACAGTAATAATGGATGGTAGCAATTGAGGCTGTGCACAGAAGTGTGTGTGGATCCTCTTGTGGCTGCTGATAGTGAGAAATGCTGACAGAGGCTGCAGAGGCACTGAGTGCAGCAAATCTTCAGCAAAAATCACTGTCTTGACAGATCTCTTCCTCCACTTCATGAACAGAGGATATTTGGTTTTGGTTTTGGGCTTTTTTTTCCCCTTGGAAGATTCAAATCTCCTGACTGTTGACAGGGCTAGTCCTCCTCTCCTCCTGAAGGATGAATATTTTAGGTGATATTCCTTGGGAGTGTTGCCATCTGTCCTCTTTGTCTTGAAGGATTTTTATTTACAATGCTGGAGTGACGTTGGGACTGTTTTTCCTGCAAGGATTAGATGACAAAAGCTGTGTCAAATCATTTCTGTGCACATAAGTGTGCCTGACAAGCCTCACTAATGACACTGTTGCATTTCATTAACAGGAGGAAAACTGGAATAATTAAGAGCTCTGATTTGCCTTGTGAGGGATCAGGTCAAGGTTTCCAATCAAGTCAGCATGAAAGGAAATTCAACCCACATAAATTACCCTCAGTAAACATCTGCAGGGAGGATTTGTGTTTTACCTCTCTGTCAGAGAATCACAGGAGCACAGAGAGGTTTGGGTTGGAATGGCCTTTGAAATTCACTCTGTTCCACCCCTGCCATGGGCAGGGACATTTCCACTATCCCAGGGTGCTCCAAGGCCCCTCCAACCTGGTCCTGAGCACCTTTAGGTCCTTTAAACAAGTCCCTGGAAAACCCTTCATGCTGGAGACCCTTGTGGATCCTCCCCTCTCTCCTTTCCTGAGGGACTATAAATGTGTCAGGCTGTTAAATTGGATAAAGAAGAGGATGCATGTCGGATGTGAAGGTGTCAGCTGCTTGATCAGTTAAGGAAAACCTGAGTTGACTGGCTTGGAATGGCTTCCTAACAGCTAAATTTAACAGGCATCATAAAATCAGTGCCTAATGGGCGAGGTGATGGATATTTGCTTCATGTGCAAGTGGTGATTAGGGCCAGGGGCTGCTATTTCTGCTCTCCTCTGCCTCTAAATGGCTGCAATTACCAGGAAACCTGCCCTGCATCCACATCTCCTGCAGGCCTTGAGGGCTGCAGCATCCCAGGAAATGAATTTGAGCCGTGTAAAGGTGGTTTCAGGTTTCCTTCAGCTCTCCCAGGGAGATTTCCCTGTGCCCATCGCCAGCTCCCCGGCAGGAGGAGGAACCTGCACCTCGCCCTGCTCTTCTCCCTCACTGCCTGCCCCAGTTTTCATTTCTGCGCAGAACTTTTCAGTGCCTCCTGTGTTTGCAACTTGCAAACCTCTGTTTTCTCAAAGAATTAGTTTTTATTAGGAAGAAAAAGAGCCTTGAGAGTTTTCCTTTGCATATTTAACACACACTCAGCTGTGCTGCTGAGTGACATGTTTTAAATCAGATGTAAGAAAAGCAGCAATGTGTTACCCTGCTGTCAGGGGGGAATTTCAGTACTCCGGGACTTTTCAGTTTTTTTTCTGTGATGATACAAGAAGGAAATTGTTATAGATACATATTTTAATACTGGCTTTTTGCAAATGTTAAAATGGATTCTATATGTGTGATGTTAAAGTAACTTTGTTATGAAGATTTAGTTTTTATTTCTGTTGTTAATTAAGCTTAGCCATAGCAGTGAAATAGCTGATATAAGTATGAATACCTACTTATATAACATTTAATAAACATATAAAGAAGACACCCACTACAAATATGCCAACTGTCAACACTCAATGTCTGAAGGCAGTGTAGACCCAAGCCCAAAAACTGGAGGTGATAAGAACAAGACTAAAGAGACTTTTTAAGACTGAAACCATAACCAAAGAATACTCATACTCTAAAAAAAAGACCCAAAAAGAAGATTTACTAAACAGTTCTTAGGACACGTGAATGTATTTAAGGAAAAGTTTACTATGCAAAGGACCCTGTGAATATACAACAAGCTGATATAAAAGAAAAAGTATTTAAAGAGTATCCCCAAAGATAACAGTGGGCTCTTAGCTGTAATAACCTTTACTCTATAATCCTTATCTCCTATTATCCTTTTTAAATTTTCACCAGAGAGGAAATGTGTTTTTCACAGAAACGATGGGAGATAAGGAATCCTAGGGATTTGTGATCTTCCAAGGACCTTCTAAGCAATTGGAATAAAAACTGCTTTACCTGCTGAAACAACAAGTGAGCTGTGGGAAATGTTGAGGCTTTGTTTCCCCCATCTAGAATTGAATTCTGCCTGTAGGAGCCAAGTGAGATGTGTGCTGTATTTTGAGACTGAATTGTGTGGTGGAATTTGAGACTGAATTCTTTGCAGACCAAGGTGAACTGGAGTTTACAGGAGTAGTGAGTGGCAGGAGGATTCTGTTACTTGTTTGGTTTTTTGTTTCCAAAAAGCCACAGAGGTGTGAAACACGACTTTAAGGCTTTTCCACATCTCTGGCATGTCTGTGAATATTTAAAGTCATGTCATGATTATTTCAATACTTTGTTTTCCAGTGAGTCTAATAAAACAAAACAAAAAGACAAACTGTGGCCCAGGCTGGGATAACAAAAAAGGAGGTTTTTTCCCTCTATGTACTCTGGGATATATTTAAGAGTTATATATTCATTTCATGTGGAGTAATTATTTTTAGTGTTTTAAAAAGCATAAAAGCCATCCACCATCCCAAGTAGCTGTTGCAGTCAGGGGAGGTTTCATCTCTCTTTGTGAAGGAACTTACACTAGAAATCAAATTTCCCCCAGTAAAAGATACAGAATAAAGCCTTTAATGTGTTTTTCAGAAAGCTGTGATCATTTACTCTCTTTCCAAATTTGACCTAAAAATATTTTTATGCTGTTTCAGCCTTCACCACATAACTTTTTCAGTGCCACAGTGAGCAGTGTGTCACTGGAGTGGCAGCAATGGCCATGTTTAATATTAAAATACCAAATGAAGTGTCACCCTCAGCCTTCCCTTGGAAGCATGTCATGAAAGTAAGTTGCCAGCCTGTAACAAAAGCATGCATTGATGATCTTCAAGCCTTTTCCAAGCTCAAGGATACTGATTCTGTCTAGAAATTCCATCTTGAGGGATGCATGTCCGTGTTTTTCAGTTTATCTCGAGTAACTATTCCTGTCTGCTGCTTCCTCAGCAAAGGGTAATTATGCAAGGAGGATTGAGGAAGAGTGCTTTAAAATTTCAGCTGCTGTTGTTCACATCCTCTTAAGAGATTTTCTGCTGGCCACAGAGACCCTTACACAATGTGGATGCAGAAAGTTCAGCCATAATCTATGAACTGGGCTGACCTGCCAGGTGCTTCCATTCAGGCCTGAGCCTGGCCTGCATCCAGGAGTGTGGACCTGCTTCACCTGGGGAAAAAACCCCAAAGGGATAAAAAAAGGGATAAAACCACTGTCCCATGGCTGGATGTGTTCAAGGGCAGGCTTGGGCACTCTGGGGTGGTGGAATGGGATGGGCTTTAAAGGCCCTTCCAGCCCAAACCCCTCTGGGATCTTTCTTTGCTTGCTGGGGTTGTGCTGGGAGATTTACCCTCAGGCTGGCTCAGGGTTTGTGTTTTGGGCTGAACAGAACTGGGCAGTTTGTCCCCTCTGCAGCCCTGGGGCTCCTGTCCCCTTCTCCACAGGGCTCAGGCCGTTCTGCCTGCTGTCAGCAGTCAGGCTCCTGGGGCTCCCACTCTCTTCACAGAAGCCATTGCTATTTTTGTCCAGTTCATATTTCTCAGATATGTAGGAAGGCCATATTTACTGAACACCCCAATTGGATCTTTGATGAATAAAGGGAGGATGTGTCCCAGACTAATCTGTGAGCTCTGTTCTCAGTGAGCAGCTGGCTGCAGTGGGAATGAAGAGCAGAGCAGTGTGTCCTGTGAGGATGTGCTTGGTGCTCTCCCTGCAATCACTTATGCCTTTTCCTTCAGCATTTTTTGGAATGCCAGAAAATCCCCATCATACATGTAAGAATTTACACAGGGAGGCTTTGCAAGAATCCCAACATGAGTTTTAAAAAGCCACATAAACCTTAAACCATCTTGTGGTTCTTGGCCTGCAAAACCCGAGGCAGCTGAAATTTTCTGTGCTGGTTTCAGATCCTTGGTGCAGTTTTCAGGAGCCCCCTCAGCACTTGGGGCAGATGAAGGTTTTTTTTGGCCTGCAAACCCACAGGCAGGCTCTGTCTCGTGTTCAGAAGCCAGTGATGACTTGGGACATGTGTTTCAAAATTACCTCTTTCCAGTTCTTTGTCTGCCTTTTTGCTGTAATAGCACCGAGTGATTATTTTTATTTGGCATTTCACGCTGACACCCAGCTATAAACCAACACTTGTCTCTTTTTTGATCCCTTTAAAGCACTGCTGCAGAGGGTTCTCTTGGGCTTTTGGAGCCTTTCAGGCTCAGCATAAAAGGGGGTGTTTATGCATTCTGCCCTCTCCCCTCTGGAGCCCTTCCCTCTCCTCACCCTCCTGGGATTGCCTGTGTGGGTTAGAGGGGAAAAAATCCCTTTGAAAACCTCTCTGTTCCAGCTGTCAGCTTGGGGACTGCTTCAAG